TAGTCAGCCACCTTGCACCTCCTTCCTCCTTCATCACCCACACCCATCCACTATAGCCAATCACCTTGCACCTTCTTCCTCCTCCATCACCCACACCCGTCCACCATAACCAACCACCTTGCACCTTCTTCCTTTTCATCACCCACACCCATCCACCAAAACCAACCACCTTCCACCTTCTTCCTCCTCCATCGCCCGCACCCATCCACCATAGCCAACCACCTTGCACCTTCTTCCTCCTCCATCACCCACCCCGTTCACCATATCCAACCGCCTTGCACCTTCCTCCTCCACCATCACCCTCGCTCACTCACGGGTCGTAGGGGGTTTAAAGGCGGCACGAGGGACGTTAGGTAGGCCGGTAGGGTTGAGTAGAGAAGTGAGGTCGATTAGGATAGGATACTCTCTCTCTCTCTCTCTCTCTCTCTCTCTCTCTCTCTCTCTCTCTCTCCTCCTCTTTCTTTTCCTCTCTCTCCTTCCTTTTTCCCCTTGGCCTTTTCCTTGGTACATGACTAACCTTTCCCCTCACCAGTTATATTGCCAGAGAACGAACGAGCAAAGAACTTGATACTCACTTGGTGGAAAGAGAGGGCAAGGGGAGGGTTGCCGGTCCCTTGTGCCACCAAGAGAGAATGGAAGGGAAAATTGTGGGAACTTGGAAAAGCGGGATCCTTTGTAAAAGCGGAAAGGAACGAAGGCTTGAGATAAGGTCAGTTTAACTCAACCATCTTCCCCGACTTCATGACTAAGGCGAGGGCATGGCTTGCTTGACGGAAGGGAAAGAGAACTAAGGCTTGTGGGAAGGGTGATGTATTGACCCCAACGGGGATTGTACTTGGTCCTTGCTTTGTGTTGTCTTGCGCAGGTGAGTAGCTTGGTATGTTTTGAGCAGGACTGGATCCGTGGGACGCGGGCAAGGGTGGGAAAATTGACAAGGGAAGGACATAGACCTGACATAAAATATGAATGCGGGAGGGACTTGATGGTTGGATGCGTGGATGAATGGTAGATCTCGGGACGCGACTTGGTATGATGAACGTGTGGGATGACTTTGTTGCGTGCAATGCAAAGCCCAGAAAGACTAAGGGCGCCCATGGATAATGTGAATGCAATGCCAATGCCTTAAGCAAAACAATTACATGGGCTAGGGGTTGGGCGGCGCCGTCGCACCCCGAGGATGCCGCAGGAACCAGCCTTGAACTACTATGCTGAGTGCAAAGGTGTGTGGCCCAATGGATGACGCTTGGCCTACACACGAAAGAAGACAAATTTTCAATAAACTCCCTGGACTGCTTGCGTATTGGAAGGAACAATTGCCTTGTCACACTTAAATAAATCAAGAAAACGCCACGAGTGATCAAAAAGCTATCATCGAACGCGAGAGCGGAGCTACATCCCCCAATGTAAAACCCTCTCGCAAATGACCCATCGCCATCCATCTCATAGCACTAGGTGGGGGTGCCTCTGGGACAAACGACCCTCGCCCTGAGCGTGAGCGTGGGCGGGTCGAGCCAAATGGGACCCGCAGTGGGGTCGACTAAGGCTCGAAAGTCCTTCAGGGTACGACCCCTACAACGGTAACTATCGTCAAAGCCAAAGCGGTGTCCTTCCTGAACAGAAAGATGAACATCACTGTACGAAAGGTGGTGTGGTCATTCCTTCAACAACCATTATATCGGTAGTAAACAATTGACACACTTACTGACCTAGCAACGAGCGGTTGACGAAGGGATAATCGATTAGGCTGATTGTCTAACTTAGTGGATAATCAATCGACTGATTGGTTGACTGTGTGGTTGACTGAATGGTTAGCAAATTGGTTGAGCGAATGAGTAATTTGATAACCGATTGTTGTGTTGTTTGGTTGACTGGTTCGCTGAATTGAGCGGTTGTGGTTGGCCAGTCGGTTGGCAAATTCGTTGTGCGATTGCGTGATTGGGTGAGCGATTGTTTTGTGTCAGTTGATTAACTGATTCGTTGACTTGTTGATTGTCTGGTCAGACGACTGATTGGTTAACTGAATGGAATGGTTGACCGAGTGATTGTCCTAGTGGTTGACTGATAAAGGTGAATGAATGACTGACCGATTGACTGATTGGTTGACCGTTTGTTTGACAGTTTCGTTGACTGAGTGGTTGGACTGATTAATACTGATTGACCGAGTGCTTCACTGGATGGTTGACTCAGTGGATGAGTGGCAGAATGGCTGAATGATATAAGTTGACTGAATGGCTGAACGATTGTTTGACTGAGTGGTTGATGGACTGGTCATGTAACGATTTACCGAGTATTTGGCTTGATGGTTGACTGAGTGGATGACTTAGTGGTCAACCGAGTGGATGATCCAACAGACTGAGCGGTTGACTGTGTGGTGGACTGTTTGGTGTACCAATCCGTTGCGAAATTGGTTGACCAATGAAGTGAGTGGTTAACTGATTGTTGCGGGTTTGTCGACTTGTCGGTTGCCTAGTAAGATGACTGAGTGGTGAACTGAATGGAGTAACTGATTTGCTGACTTGTTGGTTTTTTTGTCATACGAATGATTTGTCAAGTGCATGGAATGGTTGACCGAGTGATTGTCTGAGTGGTTAAACGATAAGTTCATTGAATGTCTGACCGATTGACTGATTGGTTGACCGATTGTTTAACAGTTTCGTTGACAGAGTGGTTGATGGTCTGGTTGACTAGTGATTGACCGAGTGCTTGACTGGATTATTGACTGTGTGGTTTTCGGCTGAGTGGTTGAATGATAAGTTAACTGAATGGCTGACCGATTTACTGGTTGGTTGACCAAGTGCTTGGATGCATGGTTGAGTAATGATCTTTGCGGGTGCTTGACTGCATGGTTGGCCGAGTGCTTTGGGTGGATGGTTGACTGAGTGGATGACTGAGTTTGGAGTGCCTCATTGAATAATTACTGATTGGTCAAGTAAGTGGTCGACTGAATAGTTGGCTGAGTGATTGACCGAGTGTTTGGCTAACAGATTAAGTGATAGGCTAACGAAGTGGTTGAACAATTGAGTGATTGGTTGATCGATTGTTCAATGGATTGGTTGACTGAGTGGTTGGAGCGGTTGAGTAATGGTTGACCAAATATCAGACTGAACGGTGACTGAGTGGATGACTGATTCGTTGACTGAGAGGATAATCGATCAGACTGAGTGGTTGACTGTTGTGATGACTGTGTGGTTGACCGATCGGTTAACAAATTGGTTAAGCGAATGAGTGATTGGTTGACCGTTTGTGTTATTTGGTTGACTACCCTTGCGCTGCGGAATTGAGCGGTTTAATGTGTGGTTAACTGTATGGTTGACCGGTCGGTTGGCAAATTGGTTGAGCAATTGAGTGATGGGTTGAGCAACTGTTGTGTCAGTTGGTTAACTAATTCGTTGACTTGTTGATTGCCTGGTCAGACAACTGGCTCGTTGAATTGAGCACTTTACTGTGTGGTTGACTGTATGGTTGACCGGTCGGTTGTCTGTGTGGTGGGTTTCGATCTGGACTTTTAACTTTTCTACGGGCAGCGCATGGAAGCTAAGCTTCATTCCGGGCGGTGCCCTCATGACTTCACCACCTTCTCGGTCGAGTAGGCTTAAGCGGATGTCTGCAAAAACTTTTTTCAGGTCCTCTAGATCCCCTGGGATTCTCTGGAGGTTGGAGACCCCTTGCGGTGCTTCAGCCTCCTCCGTTTCCTGCTCCTATGGTTCCAGGGCCTCCTCAACCTCCACGCGTCGGCGTGTTAGTAATTGTCTGAGTCCTTTAAGCAATCTCAGACTTGCTTGCAACATGGTATGAAAGGATACAGATACCATGGTACCTAGCGGTTTGCTAAGGGTATCGTCGATTTCTGGCATAGTCAGGATCGGAATTTGGTACCTGAATTTCTTCTTTGCCACCACTGTTTTGTCTATCGGCTCTTCTTCCCTTGCTTTTCCGTAGACTTTTTTCGGCTCCCCGATCTCGGTTTCACCTCGATTTGTGCTAGTCCCCGCGACGTCTTCCATTACCATATCTCGAATAAGTTTTTTTTCCGCCCCTGCCCGCCGGGTGTGATGTTCACCTTGTCCTGTCCATTACCTTCTAGGATGAAATTGACTTATGGTCCGCATCCCCTCGGTTGGTCCCAAAGAATGTCAGTTACCGGCTAGGCTTCTATGACAGCTATATCCAGGTTATTCAGGATGATGACGGCACGCCGCATCCCTCCTGGCAAATTCCAGTTCATGAGCTCTCCCTGAGGCCCGAAAATTTTCCCTTTAAGAGACCTGCAGCATCTTTGCCTCATAATATCATGGTTGAGTTTTGGGCATGTCCGATCATTGTGCAATACTTGCATTGCTCATTGGCAAGATCCCTCCTGCCATACCTTCGATTCGCAACTACCGCCGGAACTACGGCCTCTTGGGGCGGGAGGGCGGGTCGGGATACTTGCGCTTGCATTACTAGTAGCGCATTTTCCACTCTTTCTATCTTGTTATCAACCCCGTGCACTCGTTCATGCAGGTTTTCTATCCCCTTCTTGACCTTATCCCCCGTTTTTCCGGTCAGGTCTATAACCTCTCCTTCCTTAAGAAGGGCTAGCGTCTCGGTCACCACTGTCTTTTCTAAGAGGTCTGTTACTGTGCTGAAGTCCACATCCCTTGTGTACTCAAACTTACTAGTCTGCTGGTAGGTTGAAATGATCTTATCTTTGTCGAACTCGAAGAACTGCCTGAGGAAATACTTTCTCATTATTCGGTCTGTTACCCCGGGAATCCGTAACACCACTAGGGCAAATGCCCTCAGGAAGTCATTGTAAGTCGCACAGTTCTTCCTTTGGACCGCTGCCAACTCAGCTTCTATTGCCATTTTCTCTGCCTTCAGGAATTTCCTCATCATCTCGTTTCGGGTCTCTTTCCAAGATCCACTAGAGGCAACGATGACCATAATGTCCCTTCCTAAGCTTAGCGACACATGCTGCCCTAAGTGGTTCATCTTTTCTTCCTCACTCCATTTCAACAAGACTGTCAGGTTCTCGTAGTCTATCAGAAACTCCATAATGTTCGCCCCGTCGAAAGTGAGTTTCTTTTTGGCATTCGCAAGCTACCCCTGATTCCTATTCAGAGTCCGAGTGAGGGTGACTACTATCCTCTTGAGAACCCCCTCAGAGCTACCCGCTTCACCGACCGCACTGGTCCCTTCTCCTTCCTTGTTATCCCTCTGCTTTTCCCCGGCCTTTGGCGTACCCTCCGGATCAAACCATCTTAACACCCTTTCTCTAAGATTCCAAAGTCCGTCGCACCCCTTCGTTACTTTCGGCGTGGCAGGCAAACGGCTAGCACCACTGTCCATAGTTGGTGGGGTCGTAGCCTTTTCTGCCTCTACGGTCGGGGAGTCCCCCTTTTCCTTCCCTTTCTTATTGGGTGTTCCTCTACGGCTATTATCCTTCCCTCCGTGTCTGACTTTGCCCTGGCTGGCCCTGCATTGCTCTCGTGACCCTTCTCCCAGAAGGTCTCTTTCGTTCCCAGCCATCATATCTTCAATAAGCCTCGCCTTATACTCAGCGGTTCGCTTTTGTATTTCTGCCAACTTACGGCGTGCGTCCGAGACTTTCGTTTTCTTGGGCGTGGTCCCCTCCGAGTTTCGAGGACTCGACGTGCCGTTGTCCCTTCCTTCCTTATTTTCCTGGGGTCCTCTTTTGCTTCCCCCGACTTTCGCCGAGCTTTCCCCTGTCGAAAGGTTCTTTCCATCTTCCCTGGTCCCTTCTGGTTTTGCCGACTCTCGGTCCCTTATTGACCCTTCGTTCCGTTCCACACCCCTATCCGTGCCCTGACTTCCTTTGCTCCGGAGTCCTTCGGCCTCTTCCTCTGACGCTATTCCTTTACCTACCCTGCACATGGAAAGAAAAAAAAAAATTGCGAAACGACTGGTTGTTCATAGCTTCCTTAGCACCCGGGCCCTAGGATCCCCCCTCATTTTCACTTGTTTCCATGTTTTCCCGTCTTATATTAGTCGGGACGACCCACCTGACTTTCTCCTACAGGGCGTTGTTGTATCTGTCTTCTGCCGGAAGACTCGTTGCCGAGGTTTGGGATTCCGTCACTGCCGTGCCCCAGTTCTTAGGGCGGCATCCGAGGCTAGCGGCTTCTCCTTTCGGGGGTAGCCCTTTTGACTTCCTTACACCTGGATGCCCCGGCGTCCTCAGCGCGGGTGGTCTTCCCAGTTCCTTCCTGCCACGTCCTCAGGTAAGGCGGAACTCCGACCACTACCCCCTTGCCGACCACTAGTTTCTCATTCCAACTCCCTTTACTTTTTCCCTACCTTTCCCCGGTACTTTTTCTCATGCCGGTCTCTCAGGCCTATCTCGTTCGTGAGGTTCTTCAAACAGATTAACCACTCCCGCAAGGTAGTTTTCGCCCATTTCTATCTCCCTGACAATTATTGGTTCATATTTCTCAAACGTCAGGCGTGGTAACCCAAATATCAAGATTTCGATGAGTTCAAGTAGTTCACGAGGCTGGTTTCCCCAAAACGGCCCGTGCCTAACCGACTCATCATAAAACATTCCCGTCGTCTGTAGGCGGAAGTGGTGAATCCAGACCAAGGTCGAGTTCACCAGGTCTCTTGCCCTTGAGAGGCTGCCAAAAACCAGGTCCACTATGAAACCAGGCACTCGGCACCGCAATCCCGTCATCGGGGCCCTAAACTCTCGCCATCCTCCTACCTCTACCCGAGTTCTCAGTCCCACGTTCCTTCTCTCTCGCACCTTCTCGCCTATCCGGTTCACTATCCTAGTAGCCCTTTGGAAGATCGGTAGCAGCCCATGCCCTAGTGCCAACTCCGTTCCTAGCATGTGTCATCCAGTCTTCGACAGGTATAAGGTTCCTCTCACTTTCAGGTCGGTATAGAGATCGTCCCCCGGCCCCCTATTGAACCTCATACTGTTCCACAAACATTCTACCATCATAAACGCCTGGTTCCTTCCCAAGGTCACAGCTCTCCATTCGGTGTTAATCCTTCGGACCATGTAGCTTGCCGGGAGCGATACCTCCCATCTGTCTCCACTTCCGGGGGTGGCCGAGGGTGCGTGGGCCGTCACGACATCCGGGCGTGTCTCATCGCCATTGTTGATTAGCGGTCCCCTACACAGTTTAAACAATAAGCGAGTTTTACGTATTTCATCTGTTCTTCGACCCTCAGCTGGGCAACTCCCCGGTCCTTAACTCGATATCCTTTCCCTTTGTTATTCCCCTCTCTTTTCTTATCTTTTTTATCGACCCGTCCCTACTTCTGTCGGCTCATACAGGTGGTACAGGTCATCTATGTAAGTCATTCCCCGACTTACCTCTCATCGAACAACGCCCCATAGAACCTCGTCGCGAACAACCGGAGCTCTAGGCCTAGTGGTAAATACAGCGCGCAAGATTCACAGTGCCTCATACCTCTGTTCACCGCTGAATGGTCCCATTTCTAGGAAGGCCCGGTAATATTCCCGGTGGACCATCGCTTCCTCAAACGTCAGGTAGGCGAGGTCGGCCACTGCCCGCCTGACAAGCTCCAGCCCGCCTAGCTGTTCCTGTAAGAAGGGCGGCAACCTCATCCGGACGTTCTCACAAGACAGGTTGAATCTCCCAGCCATGACCACCCTAAGGTTTGCTGTTACATCATCGAACTCTGGGTCAGCGAACTCGAACCCCGCTTGCCACACTAGCTGCCATGCCCCCTCAAACAGGCTTACCGGATCTTCACCTGACGCTAACAGGACTCTGAACGCGCGCCATCCATCCTCTAACATGTACAACCACCCCTCTGTGCGCACATGTCCCCGTGGGTCCGGGTTCCACTCGCCATCTTCATTTGCCCTCCACTCAACCTTGGTCACTAAGTAAACCGTATTTTTCATAAGCTCGATCCCGATCCAATCCGTCACTGGTCGTTGGACCTCATTCGCCGTGGGTAGGTTGATTTTCACACCGCCAGCCACTTCCATCGGCGGCTCAGTTCCCAGCGGGCGATTCTCGAGAAATGTCATCCGTTGTGCCATCGCGCGCCCTTTGCTTGCCTTCAATTCTTTACCCCGCGGTGCGCAGCAACCCCTACAATAGTCAGACATCCCGTCCCTTATCTTAGTATTTTTTTACTCGGTTGGCCCTGCATGGTGCTCATCTCCTCCCATCTATGCTTCCCCTTAATTTTTCCCTCTCCCTCTTCTTTTCTTCCTTTACCCCCTAACTTACCCCACTAGCCCGGGTTTTTCCTCCTCTTAATCGAACCACAATACTTCGAACAGTTTAAACACATCATCCACATAGCATGATGTCGCTGCTACCTCTCGGCGGATTATGGCATCCCTGACTTCTGGGGCCACTTCTAGCCGATCGTTCCTGTCTATATCCAAAATAATGAGGACCTCCCAAGCTCTGTCGCCGTGGAAGGGCCCGAATTTCAGCGATGTTTTATAAAAATTTTCTGTCAGTCATGCACAATTTATGTGTATCCGTCTCATAGCGCCGACCACTTCTGCAACGTGATCGAAACCCCCAAACTAGTCTGCCACGAACTCGGGTACCCAAGTCTTGGTTTGTAGACAGGGAGACCTAAAATCCTTCCACCCTCCCATCACGACCTTACTACGGACCACATCCCACCCTTTGTTGACAAAACTCTCGCCTGCCTTTTGAGCCCTTGCTTCCGCATCCCCCAGAAGCCACATCGGATTTTGTCCTGCTGCGAGCATGATGCAGAATAAGTGTCATCCCTGCTTAGAGAGGATGATTGTCCCGACCGATTCCACTCTACCTTCCGCAATCTCCTCTCATCCTTCCTCTTCCCTTAACGGGTTCCAGATGCGTTCTACCCAAAGGTACGGCAACTCCGGCACAATCTCAAATCTAGGTCAGTCACACGTGGTTCCTCTCCATTCATTATCCGCTGGTATATACATCTCTACCCCCCCTTTAGCTCGCCTCGGCTCCCATCCTTTGAGCGTGCAGTCCCGTAACTGGAGTTCTCTAGCCATTGCTTCCTTCATGCACATAGTTGACCACCCATTTTTCCGGGTAAGCCCCTCTCTCAGAAGTCTCAATCTTCTATCTCGTCATCGTCCTCGGCATCGTTGAAATCATCCTCTTCATCGAAAAACAATTCCTTCAATCCCTCTAGGAAGGTCTTCCCTACTGCCACACTCCGATAAATTATCCGCCAATGCACTGGGCTAGGGACAAAGACGTCATCCGTGCTAAGGAGGTTCAATATATCCGTTAATTCCTCCGCCCAGTTCCCTCCGAGCGGCCCTACTTCTACTGACAGTCTGAAGAAGTCGTGCCGGGCGCACTGGTACAGCCTCAAGTTTGTCATTGACCAACATATTTGTTCTAACCTGTCCCTGGTTCCAAACACCGCATCCACTAGAAATGGGGGTAGCACGCATCTCATTGCCCTAAGAGGCCGCCTCCCCGAGCTCCACTCGCACCTCCACTTTGTTCATTTCCATTTCCGCTCGCTGACACGCTGCCCATACCACTTCTCGTTCCGCTTGTCTAAACAACGAGTCCGGCGCCGTCTCCAGTACTAATTCTATTACCACTACATTTTCACTTTCCTGGGACAAGTAGACCCACCCCCGGGGATCCACCGTCCCCCGGAATTCCAAGTCCATCAAGGTCGGTGACAGTCTCATCAGGCTGACCTTAGTCCATATCGTCTCTATCCAGAGGAACGTGTTCTTTTCATTCAGCATCACAGTTTAATAGGCTGGTTCCAGGTCCGTTCACGTTCCTTCTTCCGGGAGGACGACGGATACCCCGCCACTTACATCTATTGGCATTTCCGGACCACTAGAATAGACTGCAGACGACAACCACCGCGCCATCTCGTTTTTCCGGTCTCGGTCCCTGCTTTCAGGAGAGAGCACCACACGGCCCCTCTGGTCAGGCTAACCCCCCCCTTAATTCTAGATGAGCATTATTTCAGACCCCTCATCCGGGTCTCCGTAATTTTTCCTGCCCATTGCCCGAGCACCAGTGTCCCCATTGCACTCCCAATCGGTCATCACCAGCCGGTCTTCCTTTTCTTGGTTCCATTTCCTTCCGACTCCTGTCCTGACTCCTTTCCATCTTCTCTCACTCGTGCGGACTTAGATAGGGGCGAGAATAGACGCAAAAAGTTTGGTCCCTTCCCAATAGTCTTCAGACAACCTTTACAGAGGGGGGCACAAAAAAAAAAAAAAAATCAGACAATCCCCGCATACAAGTCAGTCATCTTCTCACCGGCCTTTTCCCAAAGTGATCTCTCTGCTGTTACTATCGGCATAGTTTTATCCCGTACCTCAAGCACAGCTCAACCGTCGCGAGCGTGGTACCCAGACTCCAGTAGGGGGACACCCTCACCTTCTTGCCCAGAATACCCAATCCCGTCTTGCCGCTCTTGTACACCCTCGTTGGCACCGGGAATTACCTCGCGTACTCGGTGGGGACATAAATCGGTCGTCAGGGCATTCACATCCATTGGTCTGATAAGAATCAGTCTTTCCCAAGCCGTACTGCGACAGGCTACTAATCGCCTTCGGAGCTCCCTCCGTACCCCATATGCATTGGTCCCCCTGCCGTCTGCCGACAAGCAGCCACCTCGCCTGAGAGACGTTTCACACCCCCGCCTGGGTAAGGTCATGAGCAATGCTCGGCCCTCCCAGGAGGGAATGCTACTAATCAACCGACGGGACCAACTCCTGCCTGACAGTCCGGTGGCCCGACCCCCGCATATGAAAGTCCGGCAGCCTACCCAAAGAAACGACGTTTCGCAACCCGCACCGGCCGATGCAGACCCACTTTTTCCTTCCGAAATGGCAGGACGCTCAATTCCTCTTTCAAGCAATCACAAGTCCCAAGTGGGACACACGTAATACAAGTGTTTTTCCCTTTAGTGCTCCCAGCGCTTCCTACCCATATCTCACAACTTTTCTCTTAGGACTGTGTGCGTCACTCCCCTTACTTCCATACACATTGGTTGGTTCCTTTTCGTGAGCATCTTCGAGGGTGAGCTAGTTTTCCTTGGAGTCTAGCAACTCCCTTCATCCCCTTATCTTCTTTTGTCTGTCCGTTCATAGGGCAGAATTGTTCCTTCTCGATTACCATTTTGTTCATATGAGGTTCCTTCAAGCATTTCAAGTGGAAGTGCAAGGAGCCCGTTGGGCTCCGAAGAAGAGAGAAGAAGGCACCCATGTCAGTCGGATCACTCCGCCACGGGATTTTCATTGGAACCCGGCCTAGGCCGAGCACCAACCGCCTGCCAGGTAACCGGAGCCCTTCTTTCACACGAAGAGGAAGGGTCAACCTGCTGCTTGCCCAACGCTTCTCCGGACTGACAAACATCAGCCCGAAAGAAGGAGGACAAGAGTCACCTCCCAAGGAGGCGGCTAATCAAGTGCGCAGCATGCATGTTATTCCTCCAGGTCTGGCCTTGCCATGTGCCCAGCCGCCCTCAAATCTGATTCTCTCAAGGGAATAAAACATACACAAGTCCTCGTTCCTTATCTCAATGTTGTGTTCGCGTTCATGGGTCGGGCGCCCCCCTCGAGATCGTATGGGTCAGTTTAACCCATACCCGGCACCTCCACCATTTTTGTAGCAGCCGTACCCTGAAGAACTTTCGAGCCTGGGTTGACCCCATTGCGGGTCCCATTTGGCTCGACCCGCCCACGCTCAAGCTCAGGGCACAGGTCGTTCGTCCCAGGGGCACCCCCACCTAGTGCTATGAGATGGATGGGGATGGACCTTTTGCGAGAGGGCTTTGCATTGGGGATATAGCTCAGCTCTCGTACTAGATGATAGTCTTTCCGGCACTCGTGGCATTTTTTTTATTCACGTAGGTGTGACCAGGCAATTGCTCCTTCCAATACGCAAGCAGTCCAGGGAGTTTTATTGAAGGTTCGTCTTCTTTCGTGTGCAGACCAAGCGTCATCCATTGGGTCACACACCTTTTCACTAGGCGCAGCAATTCCGAACGGTTCCTACGGCATCCTCGGGGGGGCGGTGGTGCCATCCATCCCCTAGCCTCCATGCACTTTTTTTTTTTTTTTGCCTAGCAAATGCATTCTATTCACATGTCCATCGGCCGCCCTTAGTCCTTCCGGGCTTCCATATTGCATGCAAAGATCAAGACACACATTCCACATATCGAGTCACAACCTTCCGGCGTTCCGAGTTTACATTAGGCCTACGGCCCTCCCATTCCGATCGCTCACGTCATTCCCAAGTCCAGTCCCGCTCGAGCCATCCTAAGCTACTCACCTGCACAAGACCACGCAAAGCAAAGACCAAGTACGATCCCCATTGGGTTCAACACATCGCCCCTCCCACAAGTCTAAGTTTCTTTCTCTTCCAATGACCCTCTTGGTTCTCTTTCCCTCCCTTCAAGCAAGTCATGCCTTCTCCTTAGTCATGCAGTCGGGGGAAATGGTTGAGTCAAACTGACCTTGTCTCAAGCCTTTACTCTCTCAGCTCTTCCAAAAGAACCCGTCCTTCCAAGTTTCCACAAAAGTCCCGTTCTTTTCCTTCCTGGTGGCACAAGGGACCGGTAGCCCTCCCCTTGCCCTCTCTCTCCACCAAGTGAGGACCAAGTTCATTTGTCGTTCGTTCCCTGGCAATGTAACAAGTGACGAAAAATGTAAGTCACGTGCCAAGGAGCGGGAGGCAGAGGGGAAAAAGAGGTAAAGGTCAAGCGCATAGGGAGAGAACGAGAGAGAGAGAGAGAGAGAGAGGAGTTTCCTATCCTAATCGACCTTACTCCTTCGCCCAGTCCTACTGGCCTACCTTGGGTCCCCCGTGCCCCTCGGAGTCTTCCTTACTTACGTCCAACGAGTGACGGACGACGGGGGCAGAGGTGGAAGAAGGTGTAGGATGTCCGGCTATGGTGGGCGGGTGAAGGAGATGGTGGAGGAAGAAGGTGAAAGAAGGTTGGCTATGGTGGATGGGTGTAGGAGATGGTGGAGGAAGAAGGTGCACGGTGGTTGGTTATAGTGGATGGGTGTAGGAGATGGTGGAGGAAGAAAGTGCAAGGTGGTCAGCTATGGTGTATGGGTGT